AGCTTGGTGTCATCTGCAAACTTGCTGAGGGTGCACTTGATGCCATCATCTATGTCATTGATGAAGATGTTGAAGAGCACTGGTTCCAAAACCGATGCCTGAGGGACACTGCTTGTGACTGGCCTGTACCCTGACCCTTCCTTTACTTGCCCTGCAATGAGAGTTGCACAGTAACTGCATCATAGAAATGAGTTGGCCCAAAGCAAGTGTGGCGTGGAGATGAGAAGGGCATTGGTGCATCTTCAGCCAGTTCCCTTCCTCAAGCCCATGCAACACCTTTATGAGTGGCCTTCCCATGGGAGGGATGGCTTACCTGTTTCTGATTGGGATGTAGGAGAGCTCAAAAAATGCCACCACAAACTGACAGGGCTTACCAAGAAGCAGTTATTGGTGTTTCTCTACCCTCACCTGAGCCATCCTTCTGTCAGAGAAGGCACTGCTGTATTTGCACCATAAAATAAATGGAGTGGTTACTCTAGGTTAAAACTAACAGCTCTTTTTATCTCGAGTCCCTAGTCTGGTTTACCACATGGCTGCAGAAGTGTTTACCTCCTGTACCAGAAAGGGTGTGAGAAGAAGTGGCCCAGAGCATTGGACAGACAAGGCTTGCTTTTGTTCACAGCTGCCCTAATTTAAGTGCCTTTGAGTGTGACTGAGCGATGGCCTCGTTGCAGAGGTGTGGGGCATTTTATGTTGTGAAACATCTGTAGTGCTCCAACAGTATGTTACTGAGGCAAATTAATGTCATGAAGATGAAAGTGGGCTGTGTACTTGTTGGCTTGTTAAGAAAATTAGTTCTGACAGAGGAGCAGATTCCTTCCTGAAGAACAGACTTCTGTGGACTGTGGTGGAAATACCTTAAAAAGCTATTCAGAATTTGAGGTACTTAATTCTTTAATGTTCCTTGTCTGCACTGAGGAAAGCAAAAACTAGATGCTGTGCCAATGATGCTGCTAATGATAAGGGAAATGTGGTGCACAGGAGCTAAGCTGAAGAGGAGAGATGAAGGCTGAAGTAGAGAGAGTTGCATATTTGGAGCTAAAGTGAATGATTTAAATATATATTTTTGCTTATGTGACAAACAGATTTGGTTCTACCATTACTTAGTTAAGAAAGATTTAATTACATTTTATATGTAGCTATCAACCTACAGAAAGTCATAGTTTACTTAGGCAGGATCTTCTCAGGAAACCCAGTGGATAGATTGTGTCATAGAATCACAGAATGGTTTGGGTTGGAAGGGACCTTTAAGATCATCTAGTTCCAGCCCCCTGCTAAAGGCAGGGACACCTTCCACTATACCAGGTTGCTCAAAGCTCCATCCAGCCTAGCCTTGAATGCTTTCAGGGAGGGAGCATCCACAGCCTCTCTGGGCAACCTGTTCCAGTGTCTCACCACCCTCACAGTAAAGAATTTCTTCCATACTCTAAATCTGCCTTCTTCCAGTTTAAAACCATTTCCCCTTGTCTTGTCATCTGTACAGATGGTTGTGCCATGCGTTAAAAATGGAGATTGGTGTTTTGATCAGTTATGCTTTAGTCGTAATCTGTCTGATGTCTTTATTTTATCCTTCCCTCTTCCCCAAGTAAGGAGTGGGAAAGCATTCCCAAGGCTGTAAGATTCATTTTTAACATGTTTTGATAGTGAGAAACAAGATTAGCAGTTGTTAGCAGCAGCCGATCTCAGGGGAAAAAAGTTCTGAATAATTATTTTCATAGTTGTTGAAGTCATTTAATCTCTCTAGTGGATATTAATAGAGTACTTAGCACCCACTTCTGCATGTGCGATAGCCTCTCATTTTATTAAATCTTACATTTTCTTCTTATCAAATGCACTCTGGTATGCTTATGTTGGTTGAAATTCTCTATTTTGTTGATATAAAGAACTTGGGTATGAGAAATTATGTTAAATCAGCTGCATGATTGCATCAGACATCAGCGTGCCATAGCTCAGGGGTCATCTGTAATCCATCAGGATAATTCATTCAGACTGCATTTGGAGGCACCTCTGGAAGAGACAAATGGTTCTGCTGACGACATCAGTCTGCTTTCCTCTACCAGCTCAAGAAGAGGTGCCCGTGTTTCTGACAGTGCTCAGCAAAGAGCTGAGGTTATTTGTATTTGCTGTGAACCTGCTCCTTGGGGCACACGGAATCGATGCACATGTGCTGACCTTCCAGCAAGTGTCAGGTGGAATATGTATGCACAAGTGATGTGGTGAGGAGCTTGCTTAGTTCTGCGACTACACTGTGTCTGTTTTGTGATGGACAGGGCTGAAAGAAAGGACTCATTCAGCTGTGTATTACTAGTTCTGTCACGAACTAGTGACAGAATTTGTCATCTCTTGCAAGAGTAATTGATTTAGGACTTGACATCTGTCTCTTATGTGTACCCAAATGTTCCACACTCATGCACGCAAATTAACAGAAGCAAAAGATTCTGTGGTACTTAATGCCTTTTACGTGAATGAACTATCTAATGCTACCGTGCATGTGGCTGTATTGCAGACAATTGTGCTTTTTCTTACTCTTGGAAAAATTGCTGAGTGTTGCTGGTTTGTTACGTGGCAAAAGATGTGTGTCTCTGGGGATGATCAGTGGTGTTTATACAACTTCACTAGAAGCGATGAAGAACCACTTGTATAGAAGAGCTCAAGAACTACCCTTTTAGAACTAATAAAATAAGGAGAGGCTTCGTCGTTTCACTGTTTCGCTAGGAGTTAATTTGTAGAGATTTTCAAATAGCTCCTGAATGATGAATCTGCGCTTGGTGTGCTGTATATTGCATGCCAGATGTGCATTGGTAATCTTTAGCTTCTTCAGGCACAAAGTGTGTGGCGTTTCTGCTCTCACTAGCCAAAGTGAAACACATACCAGAATGAGGTCTAAAATACCCAGTTGACATTTCTTACAGATTTGTCTTTAAAAGAGAAGTCTCAATGCTGTTTAAAACTTGCAATGTTTTAGTTGCACTCAGATTGCTACTGTGGTTTCTTGTTTGAAAGATGACTTCGTTAGGATAGCTCAATAATATTTTCAGTCTACAACATGCCTTTAGTAAGAAACCAGGATTAAATGATACACAACATGTAGTATTTCAGCTACCTCTTGAGCAATTGTGAACTAAAATAATAGCAGTTTAGGAAAGCAAAATACAGATGCGTTGTTTGTTTGCTTTCCTAAAGGAAGGTGTAAATGAAGTAGAATGTAATTTATCAGCTACCAAATGGGAATAATGTTTGTCATGAGGTGGAACAAAGTGTTTTATGACACTATGCTAAAGTTAGACTTGAGAAAAACGTGGCTAAGTAACAGCTCTACAGATAGAACTTTTGATTTTACTGGAGCAGATAGTCCATTTACCTTTTCAAAAAGAAGATGCATCATTCCAATTCAAGACTGCTGGCAAGAAAGCTTCCATCTGTTTGTAATTCTGCATGTAACTGCAGCACTTTAGATTTTGGAACATATGGCTATCTCTCCAAGTTCTCAGATTATGAAAAAAGAAAACAAATCCACAACATTTTATCACTGAGAATTAGGTGCTTTTGTGAGCAGATTAATCAGAGTTAAGTTCAACTGAATTGTTCTTTTCCCCACGCTGCTTCAGTGCATGGGTCCTGCCATTCTGTTCAGTCTGGCATGAAATCCTTTTATGCAAAGGATTCTTAAATTCAGTTAAGAATCTTCAGTATCTGCACATTTTTTTGTTCCTAAAACATGGCTTACGTTTTTAGGTTTAGTAAGGAAGTGGAAATCATAGAATCACAGAATGGCCTGGGTTGCAAAGGACCACAATGCTCATCCAGTTCCAACCCCCTGCTATGTGCAGGGTCGCCAACCAGCAGACCAGGCTGCCCAGAGCCACATCCAGCCTGGCCTTGAATGCCTCCAGGGATGGGGCATCCACAGCCTCCTTGGGCAACCTGTTCCAGTGTGTCACCACCTCTGTGTGAAAAACTTTCTCCTAATATCTAACCTAAACCTCCCCTGTCTCAGTTTAAGACCATTCCCCCTTGTCCTATCACTATCCACCCTCATAAACAGCCATTCCTTCTCCTGTTTATATGCTTCCTTCAAGTACTGAAAGGCTGCAATGAGATCTCCCCAGAGCCTTCTTCAAGCTAAACAATCCCAGTTCCCTCAACCTTTCCTCATAGGAGAAGAAATTTGTAAAAAAAATCAGTTTTTGCCTGTCACTTTTAGCTACTAAGCAACACAAAGTATTTGATTGCTGCTATGACAGTTCTGTTGGCCCAGGTTGTCAGATACCTGTGGTTGTGGTATATCAGTAGAGGTGGATCCTTCTTACTGGTATTCCCTTATATGTTGTTACTGTGTGGCAGATGGCAGCAGAGGGACACTGATAAAATGGCATCTGACATGGAAGTGTGTGTGAAGCAAAGGGTGTCACTGAATTCCTTCAAGAATTAGTTTAACAGCATTAAACTTGTTTTACAGTAGAAAACAATGCATTAACTGTTGGATGATGTTCAGACTTAGCTGTTATTTTCAGTAGTGTTTGCTGTTCCTTGTCTTTCACCTTCTGTTCTTTCTCATTGTGTTATGAATGTAATAACAGTAGAATTCATGTGCTCTTGTTTTACTGCTGTGTTTCTCCCTCCATTTTTAGAACCAGTTTTCTTCTGTATATAGGTGTTGAGGGAATATGAAACAGCAGGGACATTTTCTGTACTGTCAGAGCCATTTTTTACATCATGAAGGATAAACTTCTATCTAGTTGAGGAAGTTGTAGAACCTCTCTGTTGAAATTAATGAGAAATTAAGTGCTTGCAAACATAAGTTCTGTTGTATTTTGACACGCTTGCTGCTCCATCTGTGTGTGACTTTGAGTGGTTTTGCAGTGTGATTGGTAACGTTAAACAAACAAACAACAACAACAACAAAGTGTTTTCTGCAGGTGAAGACAGTGGTAATTGAATCACCAGTGAACCCTTAAAGGTGAATGTGATGTAGCTAACTCATTTTTATTCTTTTGTAGGTGATGGATGTGGACACACTGTTCTGGGCCCTGAAAGTGGAACTCTTGCTTCGATAAACTACCCACAGACCTCTCCCAATAGCACAGTCTGTGAATGGGAAATCCGTGTAAAGCCTGGGCAGCGAATTCAGCTCAAATTTGGTGATTTAGACATTGATGACTCAGATTCTTGTCATTCCAGTTACTTGAGAGTTCACAATGGGATTGGCCCCACCAGGACAGAGATAGGTAAGTTATTTTCAGCTGTTGTAATGTATAGGGCTTGGAAGATGGTTTTAGTACTTTTGTAACTCTTAATTTCACCTTCCTAGCTTTCACTCTGCATAGAATGACCACAAGTTTTATGGTATTTCAGTTATTTTTACAGCCATTGAAAGCTGTTGTACTTCAGTTGGTTATTGGACGTGATGAGACCTTGCCTGATACGTGCATGCAACACTTCGTACAGTGCAGATTTTGACACGTAGGAGAAATGGTGAGAAGAAGGAAGTGTTTGTTATGTACTAGAATCTCAAAGAAGGCAAAGGAAGGAATTTTAGGAATTCTGTAGTGAAAGTTGTGTTTTTCCTGAGTTTCATGCCAAGGAAACTCTGTAAAACATAATGGAGTGCTGCCTGTACCTCACCAACTTTACCACCATCTCTGGTGATGTGCTCATTTCACGGATGCTCAGCAGGTGAGGTTTCTGGAAAGCCAGAGTATTCTTAATTATTCTGACATGGTTGCATTTTGTTTACTGTATTATGAAAGTATATGTATATGTCTGTCCTGACTCCGTTCCTAGATGCTAAAAATGCCCTGAAAACGTGATGAATTTCCACAATAGCAGAGCATCTTATATTTTGTTCATGCATACTGATAGATGCTAAATGCAACACAGATCCTGTGATAGTTTGTGATCTTCAGATTCCTGAAGGAAACTCCATTATAATTTTCCTTTTTCTCAGACATTTCCCAGTAGCTTGCAGAGTTGTAAGAGACTCTGCGAGATCACTGTAAGCAGTGAAGGAAATTCAAAATTCTGAGCGTTGTTTTTAAAAAGAGAAAAAAACGAAGGCAAGGTGAAGTGTCTATATACATACATATGTTACCTGAAATGCCTGCTTTCTTGTACTGAAGTAGTTCTTTTTTGAGCTCTTCATCTTGGTGTTATTAAAAGATGGTGATTTAGCTTCAATAATTTATAATTTAAATATATTCCATTTTCTGATGGCAAGGAATCTGTAGTTTACTTTGTACTTTTTATGATTTCATGATTGTAAAGCAGTTGCTTTTCAGATAGCAGTGTGAAATTATTATCTGAAATTATTATCCACATCAAGGTATTTGTAGGATTTTAAGATCCTTGTGGTTATTCTTCATAAAACTCAAATTATCATTTTTCCTTTACTAACATTGGTTGTTATTGTGCAGATTCATTTTCTTTTCCCTACTTTGTCTAGAGATTTACTTTACAAGTTTGCTTTAGTGCAACTCATGTTGAGTCTTTTTATAAGAAAGCTAGGGGAATGTTAGCTTTGTTAACCCTCTTTTCCAACTGTTACCTAGTTAAGCATGTGTGAAAATAAGTACGTGCTTGGAGCTGCTGAGCCAGACTTGGTCTGAAATAGAAAGCACCGAAGTCCTTAAATGGCAAAGAACGTCCAGTTCTGATAAGTCTATTACTCACTTGTACAAGTGACTTAATGGGTTGGAGTAAATTTTCTACTTCATTTGTTTCTCTTGACTTTCAGCTGTTTCCAGCTGGTGTAGTAGCAAAGTATGTTGAGCAAATGTGTGTGGTGTTCTGCTCCTAGTAAATGAAATCACGGAACAAACAATGATCTTAACAGTGGCAGCTACAGATGGTTCTATTTCTTAAATGTTTGTATCTGAAGCAGCAAATAGTGAGATTAAACAGTGATCTGAATTTGTTTGGAAGGAATTATCTTCTGAATTTGTCCTAACTTTTCAATTTTTTCATTGAAAAATTCAGCATTGCTGCTGTGTTCTAATTCTGAAATATAAAACCTGGAATTCAGTGAATTCACCTACTTTAACTCCAAATTGCTTTAAAAGTTGGCTGATTAGATTTCAAATTGAGTTGTTACTGGGTTAGTTCATTGATAAGCAGAGAAGGCTTCTTATGAAGCTCTTAAGGATTAGTTCTCAGTCCAAGCCTTTTGAATACTTATCAGTAAATCAAAAGAAGCTTTGAATCCTCGGTGTTAAATTAATCTCTCTTTCAAGTAAGATCTAGAGGTGTTTTGTATTAGATTTCATTGCAATCCAGCCAATAGATATTTACAGACAAGTACATTTATTTAATGTATTTGATGTAAGGTCAGATCTATTGGAGCAGAGAATGTAAGCTACTGTGGAGATTCACCTCCTGCTGTAGTGCTGTTGTTCAAAAGTGCTTTGGTTCCTTCAGGGCGTGCAGACAGACGGGTAGTTTTCTGTGCATAGAATTGACAGTCATCACTGCAGTCGTGTTTTGTCCATTTCTGGCACTTACTTTTTAAAAATACTTTGCTAAAAATCTGGAAGGAAACCAAAGAAGAGCTAGGAAAATGATATAGGGTCTCAAAAGTGTGTCTTGCAATGAATTGTAAGGTGCATCTATCTACAGTTTGTCACAGGCTGTATCTCCACAGTATGAGCAGCAGCTGCTAGTTTATCCATGCTATATGTATGTGTCCTGCTGCGTGTACTTGCCCAAAGAAGAGGTTAAATGTTGCCTTGTGGACAGTCTGACCTACTCTGAGAGGAGTTTCATGCTGGTCATTGGTGTAAAAAGAGCCAGAGGCTGAAAATGAATCTAAAAGAAATGGGAGAAAAGAATGAGAAAAGTAGCAGTTGGGGAAAATGCTGCAATTCATCATCATGAATTCAATTAATAATTGAAACTAGATTGAGGGCAAAGTATAGGGTCTGTGTGGAGCCTTGGAAAAAGGAAACTTATTTTTTCATAACTTTTGCTGGCCAACTTAAATAGTAAGAATTGGAATAAGGTTATATCTGTATAATTTTATAAATTTCATTAAACTATTATAAAATGTATTTTCTGGCTTTGTCCAAAAATACTCATGCTTTGTATGAAAAAATATCAGAATCAACAAAATCTAGATACCTGTGATGAATGATAGGAATTTGTATTTCTAATTTTTAATACCCTTTGAGAGTGCAGTTCACTTTTTAAAGGAATTTGGCACATGTTTTTATATTTATTTTAAGTTACATTAGTTAAAAACTGTTTCTGCAGGGCAGTATTATTCTACTCTATCTTGGGAAGGGAGCCTGGCTTTGTTTTTTTTTTTTGGTATTTTACAAGATGATAACCTAAATATCATGAAAACGTATGAATGAATGGTAAATTGAAAGATGCAGAGCCATCTGCTGTTGGTGGTTGTCCACATAGAATCTTAAATAGGATTGTAGTTGGATTATAATATAGATTGTTTAAGAGAGCCTATGGAGCAGAACATTTTCTTAACTGTCTAATGAACTGGTCAGTAGTTTAGTAAAGTTTCTAGTTAGTAGAATTGGAGAATTCCATGTTGATTTGACTCTCATAGCCATTCATCCAGGCAATTTCAAGTCATTTGGTAGTAATTCCTAACTTACTAGGCAGATGTTATCAGTATCTGATGACTCCAGCTTCTCAGGTTAAAATATGCTAATTACAGTCAGTTTGGATGGCAAGAAAAGTACCCAGATGCAGAACAAGCCTAATCTGGTTTGAGGTTTTCGTAGGTATTGTTTGTTTTGGTTTTTTTTTGTCCTGCTGAAATAGGTGCAGTACCTCTCATAGGTGTTACAGGTGCAGCAAAAGAAAAAATGGGCCACTTGCAAGTTTATACTAGTAGAACTCAGATATGCTTGTATGTTGATGCTGAATTGCAGCGAATCATGCCTGCTGTTGCCACAAAAGTAAGAAAAGCAATTGACAGAAAGCATGAAATAATCAGCAGGGAAGAAACACTCCAACAACTGAAGGAAGAGAGGGCTTTTTTCCTCATCTTCTGTACATGATTCTTGTTGCCTCATCTTTCTCATCTTGGAAGAATGGACTGGCTACGTATGGCTGGAGGTGAATGGGATGTGGATACATTTATGTGTAAGTGTTAGGGATAGCAGTGACTCTCATCTATCTGCAGTGTCAAAGTAAATATACTTTGGTATTTGCTTTAAACAGACACTGACCACATTCATTCCTATCCAATGCCTGTATTTGGTTTTGAATATACACCAGATGCAGTGTGAGCTTATACTGGAAACGAAAAGAGATACTTGTTGCTGAAGTTGGTTTGGGTCCGTGACTCTTTCCCCCTTCTTTCCCTAGGAAAGTACTGTGGATTTGGCTTTCAAATGGATGGTTTAATAGCTTCAAGAAGCAATGAAGTCACAGTGCAGTTCATGAGTGGAGTACACACTTCAGGGCGTGGATTTCTTGCAGCTTACTCAACCACTGACAAATCAGGTATTTGTAAAATCCTCATAATTTCTCTGTGCTGGTGAAATTAGAGTTGTCTAGTAAAACCACAGAACGGTTTTATTATCCAATTCTCACAAATTGACTTCTAAAAATGATGACTTATAATACAGTCTTCCTGATATTTCTGCATAGGAAATTAAACTGTTCTTATTTAAGTTACTGTAGTTTAAAAAAGAGGGAAAAAAAAAAAGAAAAGAAGGGTTATCAAAGCTTACCCTCAGTAAAGCAAGAATCACAGTTATCTGTTATGAATGAAAAAACTTCTCCAGATAAATGATTAAATGCGTTTTTTCAGGCCATAATCAAGATAACCGATAACTTTGAAATGTTTTCTTATCTAACTGTCTATATTCTAGGCATGCCCACTTCACTGCAAAATTTATTTCAGTCATAATTTCCTTTATTTCCTCAACTCTGTAGTCTCTCTGTGACTGCTAATTAGTTTTCAGCGTGTTTTTTTTCTTGTTTTGTTTTTCTTGCTGGTTTGTTTTTCTTTGTTTTGTTTTTCCTTGTGTTTTTTCTTCTTTTCTTTTTTCTAGCCTCAAAAAGAGGCTGCTGTGTTTTGCATCTACTTCCACTCACTGTGGAGGTGAGTGACATACATTGTCCAAAAGGAAACAAGAATTAACCAGGAACTGCTTTGCGAGGCACAGAGCTCAAGAAGATACTTCATAGATGTAGTTCTAAAAAGAGCAGATGAAGAAGTTTCATTTTAAAAATTTTGTGGATATTCTGATGCTTTTCTCTGTTTTGGATTGTTTGTGCTCACACATTGCACAGGAACATAAAATTTGAAAGAAGTCATGGATGCCAGTAACATGTCACTGTAAGATTTCCTGTGCTGCCTGGTTTCAGTATTGTTGGTCTGTTACATGCTGAAAACACAGGCCTGTTTATCTGGCTTACTAATGTAATTTTCTGTGTTTCAATTTCCTTTTGTGAAAAGAGTGCATGTTTATGTCTCCTATGTAGATTCTCTGAAGCATAGCTACAAATTAAGGTGCAGAAAAAAAAACCCCAAACCCCAAAAAAGCCATATGTTTGTAGTGCTTCTCTTCATGTCTCTGTAAATCTCAATGTATTTCCCAGTTACTCAAGACAGATTACAAGGTCCTGCTATAACATAAGACTGACTGCAAGAAAATTATGTGCACTTTAAAAAGCATGCTCAAACCAGATGTCTTTATCACCCTCTTGACCCAACATTTTTTCTTTCCAGACCTAATTACCTGTTTGGACAATGCAAGTCATTTTTCTGAACCAGAATTCAAGTAAGATTGCTTTTACCTCTTCTTCTCCCACTCCCCTTCTCCCATTTTGGTCATTTTGATGTTTCTGTTTCACTCTGTAACTTACACCTGATAGAGCTTGAAAACTGGGGATTGAGAACTTGAGAAATGAAGAGACTGGGGAGAGAGCTGAATAATATTCACGTTTGCATTTGTTCTTCATCCCCTCTCTCCTGTTTTTTTTTTTTTTTTTATCTTACATACCATACACGGAAGAACCTCATCAATTTGCACTAACACATATAAGCTAATATTACATTCCCATAGGAAAAAAAAATATCACTTTTATAAATATATATTACAGCACGTATACGCTTTAAATACTGAAATTCACATTGAAGTTATCAAAGGAGCACTAAACTCTGAAATAGGTGAAAAATTATGAGCCCATTTCACACCCTGGTGTGAGTTAACGAGGTTCTATAGAGATACAAAATGCTTTTCTTTCCGATGGAGGAAACACATCATTTCTCCGTTTTGTCCCCCATTTCTGTCTAAAGCAACAACAGTGTTAAAAGCTGTAGATTATCATAAAGTATGTAAGCTTACCTTTTGGAGATCTTAAGCACTGAAGTTGTGAAACCTGCATTCCTCATTCATTTTCCCAAGTTCCAAAATTATAGGCTGTAGTTTTACTCAGTATGTGCTTAGGTCTCCAAATCCCATTGTTTTCATGGTACCTGCAAAATTGCTTCAACTTTTGTTGAATTGATATTTTACCCAAGTTGGTTGTTAAATCTTGGCTAAAACATAGGCTTGCATCAGATGTGCAGATGTCTTTCCCTTCTTTCCATGAGCTAATGATGCTAGCTGAATATTTGATCTGTTCTTTCTTTTTTAACGATCAAAGCATTGCTAGGAGTTATTGCAAAGTAGCATTATTTTTCAGGTATACAATTTAAAGGTGCAAAACAAATAGATATGCAGGTCTCTAGTTCATAAAATATGATGTAGAAATACTGCTGCCTACGAGGCTTTCAATTTATGGAAACTATGAAGTATTTATATCAATTTTATTACATTCAGACTAGAACTGAGTTACAGCTGAGACTGTTTTATGTTTTTGTCTGATTTCTTATGTCTTTGATTAGGATATATCCTTATGTAGTGATAGAAAAGTGATAACTGTGTATTATAAATAAATAAAGTGTCTATTTTATAATGTTTTGAAAAAGTTGTAGCTGCATGCATGCCTTGACTTGAATTTTTATTATTTTTTTTCTTCCAGTAAATATTGCCCAGCTGGATGTGTGATTCCTTTTGCTGATATTTCAGGCACTATTCCCCATGGATACAGAGATGTAAGTAAACTTACTATTGTAGGCACACATTAATTGTGGTAAAATACTTAAAGTTTGATTAAAACTCATTTATAGTTATTTGTATTAGCTCTGCTGTCTGGACTCTGGAAGTTGCACCTCCTAAATTAAATGGCATGCTACTCATTTTTTTTTGCACAGCTGCTCAGTGGCTGGTACTTCAGTGAGTCCGAGAGGGCCCATGAAAATTGGAGGGCTGGAACATCTCTCTTATGAAGAGAGGCTGAGGAAGCTGGGCTTGTTCAGCATGGAGGGGAGGCAGCTGCAGGGAAACCTTGTGGCCTTTTGGTAATACTTGAAGGGCTTATAGTGACAAAAGACTTTTAGTGCAGGCTTGTAGTGATAAACAAGGAGTAATGGCTTCAAATTGAAAGAGACTGGATTTAGTCTAGTTTTAGAAAGAATTTTTCTGCCACCAGGGGGATTAAGCATTAGAACAGGTCACCCAAAGAAGCTGTGGATGCGCCATCCTTAGAAGTGTTCAAAGCCAGGCTGGATGGGGTTTTGGGCATCTTGATAAGATGTCTCCGCTGCTGACAGCAGAGTTGGACTAGGTGGTCCTTCCAACCCACGCCACTCAATGAATCCATGTTCCCATCTCCAAGAAGTGATGTAATATACTAGAGATTTGCTTGCAAGGCCTTCTACAAAAAAGATGTATCAACCAAAATACTCTGATACTTCCTGCTTTGTTTCTGTTGGCTTTTTCAAGTTTTGGATTTCAGCTTTATAGAGAGAATCAAAGGTTTTTTTTTTGTTTTTAATGAAGTCATCTTGCTCTTGATACTATGATATTTTAAACAGACTTTCAATGATTTACGCTGTTTACACTGGACAGCTATGAAAACAGTTGCAAAACAGTTTATACTGTAGCATTAATAGTTCTATTAACTGGTAATAATGTAGCTTACTTGGAATGCTACAAAAAAAAATGTACACTGATCTTTAATATTTAATACGAACCTAAAATGTGCCGCTCTGTCATTTTCTTTTCTCAAATACCTGTAAATCCTAGGCTACCTGCTTAAATAACTTATTCATATGTTTAAAAAAAGAAGTCACCACAGTGTAGCTGTTGTGTGTTATGTTCTGCAGTGAGTCCTTGCTAAATAGCTGCAGGATAATTTTTGTGCCCATTTATAAGATGGAGTTGATTCTCTGTCTCTTGTATTTGCAGCATTTGTGGGAACCTTGCTTGTTGGAGTTGGTTTTTTTTTTGGCCAAAATCAGGAAAAGCTTTTCTATGGAGGAAAAAAGAAAACTTTAGCAAATAAATCCCCTGTGACTTTCTTTTTGTATGACTTAGTACCCTGTATAAAGGGCAGAGAGTTTCCCAGAAGTCAAATTGGGTGGAAAGAAATCAAATTGTAAAGCACTTAAGACAAAGTTTCAGGTAGACATTTCGCATGCATCCCTTCCTAAAGATCTTAGCTGTGTGCTGCTTTAAAGAATACCCTAAATCTTGATTCTTTTGTGTAATCCCTTTGAGGACTTGGAGCACTCATTGCTGACATCTTCTGGTGAGCAGGGAGAAGACAGTTTCGTTTACTACAGAATCTCCATACTTCTACTTCCAAGAGGAGATAAGAGGGAGTGGGAAACCGGGTGTTTAAGCCAGTCATAATTACTTTTATCTAGAAGCTTTTGAGAGTATCTGTGGGGTAAGGAGTAAGAATCTTAAAAAGGGTTAGAGATTTTGTGTGTGAGTATACTAAGGAGAGTTATGTCTGGAAATATGTTTGTAAGAAGGTTTTGTGCCAGTGAGCTTGAGATATAGGGGCATTCTTGCCTGTAGCATGATGCAGTTATTTCTCGAGAGGCCATAGTGGAGAATGTTGTTCTGTTTTAAAAATAAGAAGAAAAATGATCCATGAAGTTTGGGATAGAGAGGCTGGAGAGCAGCCCTGATGATGGGGATCTTGGGGGTTCTGGCTGACAGCATGTGATCCAACAGAGTGTCCTGGCAGCCCAAAGAGCCAACTGTACCCTGGGGTGCACCAGGCCCAGCGCTGCCACCAGGCGGGATAGGAAGGGCTTGTCCTGCTCCGCTCTGTGCTGTGCAGCCTCACCTCCTGCACTGGGCGCAGCAGTGGGTGCCACGGAATGAGACAGACATAAAGCTATTTGAGAGCGTCCAAAGGAGGGCTGCAAAGACAGGGAAGGGTCAGGAGGACAAGGTGTGTGAGAGGGCGGACTGAGGTCCTGAGGTGCATTCAGCCCAGAGCAGAGGAGCTGAGGGGAGGCCTCATGGCAGCTGCAGTTCCTCACAGGGGGAGGAGGGGCAGCGCTGAGCTCTGCTCTCTGGTGAGGGTCAGGGTGGGGGTTGGGGAAAGGTTCTTCACCAGAGTGCAGTGGGGCCTTGGAACAGGCTGCCCAGGGTAGTGGGCGCTGCCCCTAGCTGTCAGAGTTCAAGGCACATTGGACACAGCTTTCAGACATATTTGGATTTTAGATGGTGCTGTGTGGAGCCAGGAGTTGGACTCAGTGATCCTTATGGTCCCTTCCAACTCGGAATATACTTGGTTCCCTTTTTCTAGAAAAGATCTGCTGATTTGTTTTAGGATAATTGTTGTGAGGCTTAATAGCACCCAGAGGAATGATTGGCAGAGAAATCCAACAACTTTATCTAGTAGTAACAGATATCTTAGTAGTAACAGGCAGCAGCACTGATTTGGAGAACAGCTATTAAATAAAAATCCGCACTAGTTGTCTGTTGTTTATTGGCTTAGGCAAAGCCATGCTGCAATACCACACTGATAATAAGATGCTGAATGTGGTTTCTGGAATGTAACTGGAGATGTACCCAGGTGAACATTCAAAGATAGCTTGGTTCCCCTTGATAATCTAAAATTCAGTTTGATCCCACATCCATCACTGAATGAGAGCAAGGGGCTGCAGAGTGATGCGTGCGTCTGCATGTTATAGTGCTTCATGAGGCAGATGCCTGTGAATAGCTCTGTGTAAGCCTCTCACAACAAAGATAAAAGATATCTAAAAACAGAGATAAAGCTAAATAAGAAATTTCTTAATGTAATAATAGCGACAAAGAACATGACTTGGCAATGCAGCACTTACAGTAAATAGTGTAATATTTAATTTATTTACAACTTAGTAGTAATGTTATTTTTTTCTTCCCCATGAGTCATCATCACTTTGCATGGCTGGTGTTCATGCAGGCGTCGTGTCAAATACTCTGGGTGGCCAAATTAACGTTGTAATCAGCAAAGGCATTCCATACTATGAAGGCTCCCTGGCTAACAATGTCACCTCAAAAGTGTAAGTGTATCTTTTACATCCTCCTTATCTTTAGCACTTTAAGTTTTGGTAGTGCCTCTTCCCAGGAGTAATTTCATCTGTCTGTGAAGTTCTCACAATTCTGTGGTGCGATTGTTTTACCAGATAATTTTTTAACCTCTAGACCATAAAGATTAATTTTACAAATTCTAAAAGGAACTTTTGTCCTCCAGAATATACATGATGACCATAAATTCCCAGTGATCTGTGCAAAAATAATACTTTGTGCAGTTTATTTTTTCTAATCACCAATTCAATCCTGTAATTTTCTTTCAAGAAAAAGAGGGGAAAATTGGTATCTGAGGCAAGTAATATTTTTCACATAAAACTTAAAATTTCACAAGTTAGTGTACAGTGTTTTGTTGTTATTTTTGGCTCTGTGTCTGAACAGTGTGGGGGAGTATTTATCTGGGGGGTGGGGAGTTGAAAGACAGGGAAACATTTGATTTTTTTTTTCCCCTCTCCAGTGCTGTCATTTTAGTCCGGTCTGAAATTGAGGAATAATGTGTTTAGCAGAATAAACCTGCCTTTTTTTACAAAACCTTAGGAAAAAAAATCCAGTAAATAATAACTACTTTATTTTGGTAGTGCTGTTAATGTTTGAAACCTATAGACAAAGGTCACTTCCCTTGGTTGTCTTTACAAAGTGAGGGCAACTACTGTTGTCCTGAAAGGCCAGAGGTTAGGACAGGGAGCTCAATCAGTGTGAGGAATGGCACACAAGCATGTGTGGGCAGACTCACTCTGGGAAATGGTGAGATGAAACCTGAATAGTAAAGAACACAGTCTTCACAGTCTTGGTTGTTCTGGAAATATCAATGTGTTGAAGATGGAAATTTTTGAGAGTTTGTATGCAGCATTTTTGGAAATTCCAAAATGAATTCCACTTAATGATCGGCGTTTCCATTGTAGCTGCATATGGAAAAATATTATGCTGTAGCTTATCATTTTATCTCAGAAATCCCAAGAATTAAGTGATCAGAGAAGGCTGATTCTTGTTACTGTGATAAAGTTCATTTAAAAGGGAAGTATTTTAATGAAGCCCTTGCATCTTGCTGGGTAGATGGCTCTTTGAAGGCCTGTTACATCAGTAGAATCCTTGGGCAAGCTTTCAGGTGAAAAGAGGTTTGTACTACAACTTCATCATGAATTTTCTGTATTCAGGCACGTGTACATAGATTTTAGAGACAAGCAGTCAGATGAGAAAAATAAATGGAAGGCAGTTTGTGTCGGTTTTCCTCACTACATCTTTTTGTTCTCTGCAGGGGACCGTTATCTACAAGTCTCTTCACATTTAAGACTAGCGGTAAGCACTGTCAATTTTATTACATAATCCTTTCCTATAAATTGCTCCTTTCCTATAAATTGCTCCTTTCATATCAGTTCTTTCCAGTTTATTTCTTAGTTTTTGTTCTGGTTAGTTTAATATTTTGACTGACTTCCTCAGTAGTGCAGACATACTAAAACCTGCTTTCTCAGTCCCACAGGGTGATTGTCCTGACAGTCTATACTTATTTCTTTTAAGATCTTCTATTCAAAATCTTTCCTTGGTAAGGTCTGCTCATCTGCAAAAAGAGATTATTTCATGTTTTTTTCCTCCAGTATAATATGCTTTAAAGTGACTTGCCTCCCACACTTTAAGTGTACTGCTTAAACCAGAGTTTGGCACTTGTTAGTTAGTCTTTATTTATAACAACTGTGCACTATAGGGTTTTGTTCCATATTTAGTCCTTACAGCTTTCTCATTGCCTCCTAAGAAACTTAGCATAAATTTCAAAATGATTACTGAGTTTTCTCCCTCACTTTTTACATTTTTTTCTTTCTCCTTATTTCTTGCAACTGAATGCTGTGTGATAAATTACTTTTCTCCTGTGCTCCAAGAAGACATCTCTTATGCTTTGCTCTGCGTGTATGCTGTGTTCCACCTTGGCTGCCATTCATTTGTTCCTGTAAACATGTTCCATGTTGATGATTGGTATAACAGACATTGCCCCATTTTAAAGCTTATTGCTTCATATGTTTTTACTTTCTGCCAGTTGCCTCCTTTTCAAACAGAATAGCTGCAGTTTTCTAAATGGAAGTCAGTTAATGTGCCATTTTTGAATGAGTGGTGGAAATACCATGAAGACAGTGGACTTGTCTTAGTCTCTTAGCTGTTTTAGTAACAATACGAAGAATGCAACAAAAGCACTGGGACCCTGTTTAGTCAAGAAAAAAGAAGGGGAGTCATGCATACATTCCCAAAAGTAAACAAACGCTTTTCCTAATATATTAATAAAAGTAATCCAAATGGGGAGATAAATGCAGGAATTTGATGGGCACAAGTGTTTGAAGATGGAAATTTATATAATGAAGCAAAAACTGGAAAATGTAATTCACATCCAATGATCTCTCTCTTAGACCTTTACAAAAGCTGGGAGAAGGAATGCCTGTCTAGTGACCTTATGGTTGGAGGATATTAAACACAGTGATCAGGGCAGCATTTGTTGTTTTTTTTTGTCTTTCAAAATATGATCTGACAGGCTGTATGAAAGTTATTCAGTGGGCTGGGAATGTGAAGAGATGGCACAAAATGCCACCTGGCTTTACCACAGAGCAGGTTGTGCAGGTTAACATCCTTTTTTGATTACTAATTTTTCAGCATGAGAAGTGCTGATCAGGACAAAAATGTGGAATTTTGGAGAAGCATTTAACAACTTATTGAGCAAGCAAGAGGCTGATGTAGATTAAAATGTATGTGTCTGAATGGGCTTGGAATTGGCTGAAGGAAAAAAGAGGGTTTTGTAGCGTGCTGTAATGACATTTATCTGATTGTGGTAGTATTACTAGTGTGGTTCTTTCACAGTAATTGATGTCATGACTTGGTACAAAATTGTGGTGTGTGTAATACTAGAGATGTGGTCAGTGCAGAGGAAAATGGAACCATTGTACATGAAGACCTGGCTGCCTTGGTGATTTGAGTAGCAGGAGTTAAGTGAAGAACCACAGAGAATGTACAGTGTCAGTACATAGACTCTGCTGTATTTCTGCTTCACATTGACAACTTCTTAGGTTGCAGTGACAGATGGAGGAAAGAATTCGAGTTTAAATAAGTGCTCATGTGATCTTGCACTGTAGCAGGTGATGTACATCCAGCAGAGGCAACAAATGAGCAAATGGCTAGCAGTTAGCCACAAAGACTTTTTTTTTTAATATTATTTTTTAAGCCATAAGAATGAGATGTAGGAAAGAACTTTTAGTAGGAATGGTAACAAAACATACAGTTAACTTCAAGGATGCGTTTGAAGTCAGGGGCAGGATTGTCACATTGCTTCCTATATTCTTTGGTGTTTTATTTGAATTAACGTTGTGATACTGAAGCAGGTTTGAAAGCCAAAAGTTAAATAGGCTCCAAAAGAAGTGAGTAACTAAGTAATCTCTTTCCCATTACTGCACCAACCACATGATAAACTCTTAAACCATGACAGTTCGCCCAGAGCTTCTCGAGTGCTCTGTGCTGAAGGTGATTGAGAGAATATCCACATTATTCTTGTGCAAGTGTAAATCTTTTAATACTGAAGATGAGAAGTTTGGTTCCAGCATGACTGGAAGAACGCAGAAGACATTGTGGTTGTTTTTAGTAGCATTGTTACGGAATAAATTTGGGTGGCAGTGTAATATTTGCATGGCAAGTAAGATTATTGTGTGGCTTGGAATTTGAAGTCCTCACCTTTTCCTTTGCACAGGTTGCTATGGGACGCTGGGAATGGAATCTGGGGTAATCTCTGATTCCCAGATTACGGCATCATCTATTCTTGAGTGGCCTGACCAAACAGGAAGAGTGAACACTTGGAAACCTGAAAATGCCAGACTGAAAAGGCATGGACCTCCTTGGGCTGCTTTGGACAGTGATGAACGTCAGTGGCTGCAGATAGACTTGAATAAAGAAAAGAGAATTACAGGTAAGTTAAATGGATTTGGCTTTTAAGCAGCCTTCCGAAAGTTTGGTCACTAAAATCTTTTCTTCCAGTGTTTAGTCTCAGGTAAAATCTGGATGTTATTTAATTACCATTACAACAAGTTTGGTTCTGTGGTCTAGCAAATGCACCGAAGAGCCTAAAGATGAACAGCTAGAGTTTCATAATATAAAACACCTCCTTGATCAGAATTTGTTGAAGTGCTTCCTGTGTTTATATCGGATCCTTGATACTTGCCTGTTCCTGCTGTTTTATTGAGGGTCCAAGTCCCTCAATATCCAGGCAGCTCAGTCCGCTGGTACCTCCGATATGGGTGTAATAGGTTTCCAGGTTTCCCTTGCTGCCTTCCACAGCCATAGCAAATCCAGCAGCAGAGGTGGGAGTAGTTGCCATGCTCTGCAGTAAACAGCTGGCAGCCTTCCCTTCAACTGCCCTGCATGCAGTGGTGCTTGAACTGCAATTCATGGTTGCATGTTCAAAGGTAATCACTGTTGTTCAAGGGTGTTTGCAATCTGACTTAAATAATAAATAATATATAAATATCAAAAATAAAGTGCCTTTTAGAATCCTGGGCTTTAAGACTTTCCCGAGACATCCCCTTTGATCACTGTGGGTTTGTCTCACTCTCAAGTGCATGAGTTGGGCTCTGTGAATGCAGCTGCATACCCTGCTATGCTATCAGCACCTGGGTTTCCCATCATTAAACATCTCAGATTTACCTCGGTCCTACCTCCCTGGAGACTATTTGAATTTTACATTGGTACTCTCATTCTTGTGCTAATAACCTTCTGCAAAACTGCTTTCCTGGGGGAGTCTCCTCACAGCACTGCAGTGACTGCTTTAGGAAGCTGCAGTTCTTTCAGTGGTGCTTTTAGCTTGGCAATGCAAAAGCAAGGAAGAGAGATGATACCTCAGCACATGGATAGGCCATTTTTATCAAGAAATGAGGCAGAAGTGTAGATTAAGACATAAAAAAAAGTAATTTTTTATGAAATTTTATTCACTGTAGAAGTTTCAGACCCTGACACCTTGGATAAACTTTTTGTAAGTGTAACTGGACAAGTGGAAATTCTAATTATGAAACTCTGGATTAAGAAGCTGATACATTTTTTTTACAAATTAGTAGCAGTTTTTTGTATAATTGGACACCTTCATTTTCACAGGTATTATAACTACTGGATCAACCTTAGCAGAGTACTACTATTATGTCTCAGCCTACAGAATTTTATACAGTGATGATGCACAAAAGTGGACAGTATACAGAGAACCTGGCATTGATAAAGATAAGGTAAAAATACCATATACTTTCTGGGAATATTCTGTGGAGATTGTGCAATTCTAAGTATGACCAGCTTGACCAGTTGGTTTTGTTGTTTTTTTTAATTCAACTTTTCAGACTCTGGAGAACTGGAAAGGATTTCAAATGCTAAACTGAATGATTCTATCTGTCTTGTTTTATTTCCATTCCTCCTGATGCTGAATTGAAAGATGGAAGTATCTTGTTTGTTAAATTAAGAGGTTTCCAAACATTGAACACAATCATAGTGGGAAACTGTCTTGAACTGATGTGATTTTACTGTAGAGACTGGTCCATTTCCTTGAGCCTACACATGAACCATCAGATTTCTAGTACGAAGGGCTCAATAAACAACTAAAATTTAAAAATCCAACATCTTTTGCTGTTTTTTGAGTGCCCTTCTCTGGCTGTAAAATACAATCTCAGCTAGCTGCGTAGATGGAGGCTACGTGTTTGGCTCTTGCTAATTGAGCTGCTTCTTTTCCTTGCAAGTTCTTGAAGCAAAGCAAATGTGGAGCTTGAAGTTACAGGTTAACAGATCTTTTCTGCACATTTTTATATCTTTAGGTGCAGTATGCAAATAGTCAAACATACTCAAAGTGCCAGCTGTAAAAGAAAATACTGAGCACAAAAAAGGGACTGATATTGAGGCTTCAGAATATAACAGGTTTTCCCTTTGTCTGGCATAATCTCATTTGATACAGCTTTACTTCTGGATGTATATGCATGCAGTTTTCTCCCTCTGATTTTTACTTAGCTGCATTCCAGACAAATTCAGGAGTTGCAGTTCTCTGTTTTGTTTTGTTTGTTTTTTACTGTCTGAAAATTCTGTTCAGGAGACTAGAAAGTTTTCCAAGACTTTTTGTGGTCCTCTATGAAAAGAGCTTCTAGAGGTGTATTAGCGCTCAAGAAAAGTCCTTCCAACATCTTTATATACAAAATAAAAAAAGGAAATGCTTATGAGGGTGGTGAGACATTGGAACAAGTTGCCCAGAGAGGTTGTGAATGCTCCCATCCTTGGAAGCATTCAAGGCCAGGCTGGATGGGGCTCTGAGCAGCCTGGTCTTAGAGGGAGGTGTTCCCTGCCTTTAGCAAGGAGTTGGAACTAGATGATCTTAAAGGTCCCTGCCAACCCAAACCATTCTATGATTATAGCTGACACTAATGATTCTTATTGTCTTCGTTCTTACATGCTCAACCTCCAAAACCAGAGGTGAAGACTGTCAGTGTTGAGAGAATCATAGATACAGAGGTGTTGATTCCTCTCATCTCCAGTGTGCCTTTGTTGCTAGGGTACCAAACTGAGCACTGGCCTTCTCTTAGTGGTGGGAACTGGCACAACACCAGGCAAACCTTCTTCTGTTCTTAACTAAATTGACACATTTGTTTGATCAGCTGGTGCTTTCAAACACGAAGACAATCACTGACTAAGTAAGGAGAAACCAAAACTCAACTTTAAGTAGCAATAGTAATGGAGGCAGTGTGTCTCTTAAGAGCAGGGATTAGCACGTTATGGAGGTCAGGGAGCTAAGATTCAAATCCCTTAAAGGCCGCTGCAAGATTTTCTTGGTTTTTGCTTTTGAAAGGCCAGTCTCCTGTCCTGGGATAATGCTTTACTTTCAGACCTGCTGGATGTTGCAGCCATTTATCCTGCACTGTCTTTTTGTATATGGTGTAAAAAACACCAAAGCACCTTGATGCTTCTGTACAATTTGGATTGTGTTTACCTAGTAGTGTGAGTGAGCAGAAAAATCCTACATCTCCATAGCATTTATTTTTCAGGTTTGTGCTAGTAAGTGCCATGACTGTCTTCTGAATTACACCTGAGGCATCTTGAAGCATCAGTATCAATGCTTTGAAAATACACATTGCTCTGTTACTGTCCTCTCTTCTGTGATGTGTTGCAGATTTGATGAGTTCTTCGTGTGTGAGACCCAGCAGTGAAAAATCAGCTTTAGCTCATTCTTTAGGCAATTTCTGCTCTCTTCTATTATTGAAAAGTTTTTGACCCAGAGATTTCGAGGAATTGTTTTATTTTGCTTGCAGCCAAGTCATTGTAGACAGCAACCACTAGAGGACAGTGTGATTACATACTAGACTTTAATTCTTCCTAATAGATGCCATATCCATTCACAGGACAGACTGTTCTTTAGCTATTACACAGTGTATAGACTCTGATAATACTTACTTTCACATTATCACAACTGCTTGCTGTATTTAAAGAGCAAGTGCAAAACACCTAGAAAGAACTGAGTTAAAATTATTTTTATTGCCATACAAATGCAGTATTTGTGTAGCAGCAGGAATTGCCTGGGTCACATCACTACGCTGTTGCACAGTACCTCTGTTTGGAGGAAGGCAGAGGGTACCAACCGTCAGTCACACACTGCATGCAGAAACAAAGCCAGTATTCCCATTGGTCTGCACACACACACACACCATTCTTTTCTTCAGCAGGAGGCAGGGTGAGTGGGGATGGTCAGGCAGCACTATTCTGGGTATGAAGTATTCTTAGCATTCCCTATTGCTTATTTTTGCTGTGTGAAATATCAAAATTGGTTTTAATTACTCAGTTAGTATTACATTTGTGTAACGTAGTATTTGTCTTTTTTTTTCTTCTTTTTTCTTTCCTAGGTATTTCAAGGGAACACTGAATTGTACCAGGAAGTTCGCAATAATTTTATCCCACCTATTATTGCACGATTTGTTAGGATTAACCCCTTAAAATGGCACCAGAAAATTGCAATGAAAGTAGAATTGCTAGGATGTCAATTCAGCATAGGTAAGGCAACTGAAAGCTTTCCCATTCTGAGTATAAACAGAGTAATTGAAAAAGTGTTTCAAGAGACGCTAGTCACTTGCTTTCATGTTACTGATTCATAGCTTTTTTTCCTCATTATATAAAATGAACAGAAGTTTTATAACAAACTGTTCCAGCTCTTTTCTTGACAAAGAAACATGTAAAGCTAGCAATTCAAACAAGCAAAAAAAAACCCAACCTCATTTATAAATACTTTTTTCTTAAAGTCCGTGCTCCTAAAATCTCCATGCTGCCTCCCCCACCGCCTCAGGACACCAACAAGGTTGATGACATCAGTGAGGACTTCATTCACTCAGTGAAGACTTCGTTGCAGACAGATAAAACAACTTTCACACCTGAAATAAAAAACACCACAGTGACTCCAAGTGTAACCAAAGGTATCCATACTTAAGCAGTAGAAATTTGGGAACTGCTGACAGTACTTTGCAGTATATTAAACATGCTTTCTGAGTTTAATTTTGCTTGGCAGTTTTTATATACTATAATAAAAAATCAGTCTTTTTAATACTGCCAATATATTAAAGATTCAGATGCTAAAAACGCTCACTTGCATACAGCATGTGGAAACAAAAGCAGTATTCTAAGGGATGTAAATATTATATTCAAAATGAGTTTAACTTTTAATTACTTAATGAGCTTTTCTCAAAAGGAGAAGTTGTAACTTGGACTTCCCTTCAGAGTTAGAAGTAACCACTGTCATTTAATCTGATAATTTCATAGGACAAGACACTTAGATATAGATAATCTTCTGTTAATCAGTTCCATTGGCATGAAATTCGAAATACACCCGTTGTCATCATGTTGTTTATTAAAGACATTGTCAGAAAGAGAGCAAGATCATTGCAAATGTAGGCATTGGTGAAGTGTCCTTTGGATAGCAGCGGACAGAACATGCCCTCATGTCACACGAAAACCCAGCATAGACAAGTAGTGATTGTTAGGATATTGTGCTATTTACTTCTTATAAGAGGTTCAGACTTCAGTGGTTGCATACTCCTGGGCTCTTGACATTCCATGTTAATGATAAAATACCATTTTTCTATGAGGGCAATGTATTTGTAGTGAAACAAAGCTATTTATTCTGTTGGAAAAGCTTTCAGAAATACTGGCTGTGTGTATATGTAAAAGAGAGAAGACAGCAGGGTAGCTTAGCAGGGGGACACAGTGTGATAGATGCTGTACCTGAAAACTACATGCTTTACCCAAGTAATTTTCAAAATAAGAACTGATTTATGAGAAGCACTTCTGTCTGACACCATTTAATTTAATGGCTTTCAGATGTGGCATTGGCAGCAGTTCTGGTTCCAGTGCTGGTGATGGTCTTCACTACTCTGATTCTTATCTTAGTTTGTGCGTGGCATTGGAGAAACCGGTAAATGAAGGGATTAATGAAAGTACTTCTGTAGAATGTTGGTCTGGTGTGTGGGAATGAAGCACTCTGCATGTGTTGCTATGGGAACTACACGATCCGCACTTCTGGAAGGGCTTTTTTGCAGTATTCTCTTTCTGAGAAAATGTTCATTTGAAGAGCAAGCACAACGGAAGTGCTTTTTGTAAATAGTTTCCTTTCAAGTGCTTTTTCTGAAAACTGATTTCTCCAGTAGCAGCAGACTGGTAGCAGCAGGCTGGGTTGCTGGGGATTGGGCTGTAAGTTTGAGAAGCAGTTACAGCCAAGGTGATGATTGCTGAGCACGGATGCACTTCTGGTAGGCAGACTGGCTAAAATACTCTTTCCTTTTCCCACAGCAAGAAAAAAACTGAGGGCACGTATGATCTACCTTACTGGGATCGTGCAGGTAACAACATGATCCTACCAAATCCTTTACTTGGCGTTCTTAGTGTAATGTTTTCAAACTGTAGTAATGTTTTCCACCAGCAGAAGCTTCTGTAGTGCTGACTGGTGGAGATGGAGGGACAGGGAGCACAGAACTTGCTTGCTGATGAGACTTGGCTTTTTTGTTCTCGGCATTTTCTTAAGAAATGGAAAATAACTCCAGTTCCAGCTTACGGCGTCAGTCTTCTTTTTTAAGTGAAACAAGTTTAGAGCCTCTTAATTGCATGAAGAGGGGAAAAATCACTCATGAGGAGACTTTTGGTACATGTAATAGTCTTTTATTTCTGGTACTTCTTTTGTGCTGGGAGAAAAAAACATTTCATCTTGGTATATGGAGCCTGTCAAGTTTCTCCTTCTCCATTGTCCTTGTAACAATGTGGGATTACTCGTATCCCAAATATCCCTCATATTCCCTGGTATGTTTTCTGCCTTCCCATTCTTGTGCCTCATTAACTTCATGTCAGACAATTCCTCTGAGCACCTCTTTGAAGGAGTTCCACAAACTCTGGTACTGCAGCATAAAGAGCTGGTGCAGCGTGTAGCTTTCACTGTCTGTATGACTAAATATGCTTCATTTTTCTGACCTTATGCTACAAAATAGCCACATCCCTATCTTTGTTCTCATGTATAGCCTTGTTCATTAGGAAAAAAACCTGTTAATGGCCTCATTTTTCTTTATTACATGTCCGTTTTCTGACAGGTCACAGCATAGTTGCTTTAGAATGTTAAGTATCAAAATCTCCTGTATTTAAATGCTTGTGATGGATACACTATATTTTTTTTCATGCTGGTTTAAGTTTAAATATTCAGTGCATGGGTCTGTTTTAAAAGGAGTATTGAAATTGGGCAGAATGCAATATTGCAAAAATGTTGCTGCAGTTCTCTGTGGGACCTCTGTTTGTGCTCTCCCCACAGGCTTCCTCGTACTTTGTTTAACACTGTTCTGTGGTTTGAAGTCTGCTCGTTCTTGGACTTCTTTGCCTACAAGATGGTTTCTTACAGCTAAAATAAAATGCATTCATGGACAGCATAACCAGAATGGCTTTGGTTACTCAGGGAGAGAAAGGGAATGACTGTAACAGAGGCAGCCCTTTCTCCCAAGAGAACGTTCATGACCACAGTCACTCCTTATCAGCCCCTCTGAAGTTAAAAATACTCTGAGTTTTTGCAAATATTTACCAATGAGCTTCTTTTAAACAAAATGAATGAGAAATATTAACAGCCCATTAATTCACGTACTCCTGGATTATAATGTTGTGTAAATACTTGATTTATAAATTGATCTCCTGCACGATTCTGTAGCATTTTCTGTGTTGCATTCTGCAATCTTACATGTGTGCTGGGTAGGAGCAGCGCTGTGATTAAGGGACACATGAGGGGAAGTCATTGCACCGCCCCAGCACTGCAGCAGAACCTAATGACTGCAGTAGGGGCAGACAGTTAACTCATGGCGTAAGACATTTTAATAGCTTAACAATTAATCAGTATCTATGCTTTTCATTTTTATTTTTTTTTTAACTGTGTGAAGGGTGGTGGAAAGGAATGAAGCAGTTTCTCCCTACCAAATCAACAGAACATGAAGAAACTCCTGTACGTTACAGCAGCAGTGAAATTGGTCGCCTCAGACCAAGAGAAGTTCCAACAATGTTGCAGACAGAATCTGCAGGTACTTTGTTGTTGTTTTCACAGGCTATGTGATATATACACAGAATGGCAGAAATGTGACTGCATTTAATTATTTTGTGTTTGCTTGAGGGAGGTGAAGGGAGATGAATAGAAATGAATGTGCTGATATTTCTTAAAATGCAGACTTTTTCAGATCTGTTCTCTGAGTAAATCCCATGAAAGTATGCATTAATTGACTGGTGATGTGCTGGGGGTAGACACTTCCCCAGGTCACAGCAGTAACTGAAACCTGCTTGTTTTAAATGCCATAAGGAGTGCACTGTTTCTTTAGTCATGTTTGCATGCATTGAAAATAACTTCTCCACGTTATGCATAAATCTGATGCATGGCATTTGGGTCCCTACACTGACAGTCTGATTAAGCCATCCTTTTGATCTGGAAAATCAGTTACTGATAACAGCATGCACCCTTTATGGTAAACTGGCCATTAGAGGAAGATGGCTGACTGCCTTTGGTTCTGTGCTGATGGTGCTGATGGCAGAAGTTTGCAGATGTACAGGAATTACAGCTTTACAGCATGCAGAAGTAATGATGTTCTCTTTTTTTTGGCGTTTGGCTGATTTGGGGTGAGCTTTTGTTACTCAGATTATCTGTCAAACTGCATTATCTCAGCTGGCTGTGTGCTGGCTCCCAGTCTCAGAGGACAAACCCTCCATGCCGAGGACCACTCTTCTTATCCAGTACCAGACAGGATAATTCCATTCACTTTTCAGCTTTCAGGGAAGCACGTTTCAAAACACTTACTTTTGAGCAGATATTCAACATGGGAAATAGTAGCTCACAAGGGAAGAATGATAAACCTGAGCTATCAGGTGCTGTTGGATAGCTTATGCTCTGTCTGTTGGGCGAAGATTACTTTTTTTTTCCCCCACAAAGCACCTCGATATGACAGACAAAAACCAACCAGTATGTTGATCCAGGATAACACTTTTTGTGATGTTGTTGATAGGATGTGTTGAATGTGTTGCTGCTGTAAGAAAAATATCCAGCAAGTGCATTTTTATTTTGTTTTGTTGGGCTTTGTAATACAGAGTATGCTCAGCCTCTGGTTGGCGGCATTGTCGGCTCGCTTCATCAGAGATCAACCTTCAAACCAGAGGAAGGAAAAGAAGCAAGTTATGCTGATTTGGACCCTTACAATTCACCTGTACAAGAAGTTTATCATGCCTATGCTGAACCACTGCCTATAACTGGACCAGAATACGCAACTCCAATAGTCATGGACATGTCCAGTCATCCCAGCACACCTCTTGGCGTTCCTTCTATTTCCACCTTCAAAGCAGCAGGGAATCAAGCTCCTTCACTGGTGGGAACTTACAATAAGCTCTTGTCCAGGACAGACAGCGTGTCCTCAGCACAGGCACTGTATGACACACCAAAGGGACAGCTGGGGCCAGGCACTGCTGACGAGTTGGTGTACCAGGTACCGCTGAGCACGGCCCATTCCATCAGCAGTAAAGATGAACCAAGTTAGCTCATATATAAGGTATATAAGGCAGGACGATGGCAAACATGGCTTGTTTTTAAAAGCCAGTTTCGTAAAGCTGACAGATTCATTTTTTAATCACACTGTTTTGATAACTGTTATTCTTAAGTAATACAGTGTTGAGCCAAAAGATGTATCATTGGAAATCTGCGAAACCAGTCATTCTGCCTTTTCTTAAGCTGCATTTATAACCAGGAGCTCTGTTGTTGGTGTTTTTTTCCCTACTGTACAGTTATCTGTCAGGCATGACAGAAGGTCTCTTCAAGATTAGCTTCAAAAAGTCATAGATGTGAATGATGAATTTGGAGAAACAACTGTTGAAAGTACGAAAGATGGTAATTTATTTGCTAATGGTACTATTTCTGGGGAAAAATAATAACCCACAGTCAAAACTTCAGATTTTCAAAAATCTGTAGGCACGGCACGAGTTGCCCAGAGCGTGGATGGTGGATGCCCCATCTCTGGTGCCATTTAAGGTCAGGTTAGAGGGGCTCTGAGCAACCTGATCGAGCTGTAGGTGCTCCTGTTCACTGCAGGGAGATGGACCAGATGACTGATGAGGGTCCCTTCCACTGAAACAATTCTATTGTTCTATGATACATAGGTACTACAGCTTCTAAAATTCATTTTACCCTATAAAATTTGTGTACAGCCTCGAACTTTGGAAATTCCATTAACTTCATGACATAAAAATGGTCATGATTGTAAATTATGTTAATTTTGACTTTTGTTCACAGGACTGGGAATCATGACCTATTTGTTCCTTAGAATTTTCCTAGCATTTTTGTTAGCCTTCGGAAACTAGAATTTGCTGTCTTTACAACCCATTTTCTTTTCTGCCTCATGTCTTAAGCCGCTCAGCCTTTGTGTCCTGGTAGGGATACAGCAGGTACAGTCTGAAGTCTTACAAGCAAATTACCCTGCAACTGCTTTCACTTACCTGCTAAGTAAAGGCTGCTCTGACTGGTGTCTGCCTTCAATTAAACTTCTGCAAGAAGCATGCAGGCATTCAAAGTGACTGACATGTTCCCTCTCCCACAGCAGTATCTATTGTTGTAGGTTAAGAGGTGAGTGTATTCAAAGAAAGATATGTACATACTTTTGTGAGTGCTTGAAGAAGCACACAAATATTCTAACGGTGCGTAGTTTGTGTTAATACATGCATTTAGCACGGATGGTACTTTTAGCACAATTGGAAATCTTTGGTCCTAGGGCTTTTCTTATGATTGTTCTTTTTAAAGATCTTGGAATCTTTTATGCTTTTTACTGAGAACAATTGCTGTCCCAAAGAGTGTCATTTTAGAAACATTTAATTGAATTGTTATCTTTTGAATGTTCCAGTTTTCTCTGCAATGAAACATGGCAGTCAGTCTTCTACTTAAGATTGGGTAGACTAGTTTTATCTCGGTAATCACAAAACGAGAACCATTTGGATGTCTAATCTTGTTAGAAACAAAGCACAGCTTTTTATCTTAAGTAGTAGAAAAGAATTCTTAAATAGCTTTATTTTTATTGTTACAGCACTGGTGGGAGGATGCTGAATTAATTTATAAATGTGAAAATCCCTAGCTACACATTAGCCCAGTTTTATGGACTGTAATGGCTACTGTTTCCTTCTGTAACACAATTTGTCAGCTTTGGTGTTGCCCGTGGGCCTGACATGAGGTGGCTCCCATCCCCATCAAAGCCAAAGTCATGTACAAGAGAACAGCTACTGCACCTCGTACAGAACAGTGCCCTGACTGAGTACTTGAGTCTTTTTGTAGAGAGACAACCAGCATTTCTCATGGTCTATCCACTGCCTAGAATGTTGTTACCTATACTCTGCTGCCTTAAAACTCAATTCTACATTTTTTTGATCATGAACAGGAATGCTTTTTAGAATTGGGAGCCTAAGCCTAAATCTGAGTAGGCAACGAAGGGCGGTATATAAGGCCTAGTTGTGGAAAGGAATTTCCTGCATATAAGTTGTACTTCTGATGTAATTGCAACTTCTTCTGATTGATAAAGCTAGTTCACAGTCCTCTGTGCTCTCCTTAAACAGGCAGGTACGTGCTCGTGCCCCACAGCAGCAGTTATAAGCTGGATGTTATGGCATTTTATTTGAAAGGGTTGGAAGGTTGGTTGGTTGCACCAAGGTGTGATATGCTGATTCCAATTCACTTGAAGAAACTTTTGAACTTTTAGTCTTTGAAACAAAAATATCTGCGTGGATCACACGGATTTGTTTAAGTAATTTGGTAAAATTAATTAACAGTGTTGGAAATCTGCATTTTATTTTTCTTGTAGGCCAGGTATAGCGTAACAATGGGTATAACTGTAGGCTAAGGCAGTGTAAAAGAGTGGGTTTTGTTCAAGCAGCCACGATGCGGTTTCATTATCTGAGCAGCATGATCTGTTGTAGTTAAGAATGGAGTTAGGTCCTCTTTATGAAAGAAAATGGCCTCATGCTTTGCTCACCGCTTTCAACATTTACATTGTAAGTTGGAATTTCTCATAGTTGGGTTTAAAGTGTATGCTACAAACTGTTAAACATCAACTCCCAAATGTAAATTGTGTGACAGACCTAAGAGTGATGTTCTCCCATGTACAATGCAAGCAGAGGTACAATTAATGGGTCTCATTTTTACATGTGAAGCTATATGGATATAAAGTGTATTTCAGCCTTCTTTGGCTTGATTATGTTCTTACCTCAGCATGTAGCGTAGTTGCTCAGTATCTGTATATGTTGCTAGAAATTAGACTGTATAAATAGTGAGGTTTTTTAATGTATGTTAAAAAGTATTTTAAATAAATTGTACATACCTATTATGCCCAGTTTGTGTTTAACAACCTTTACTTTCATCTCTATCACTCTGCTAGTTTGTACTCCTCCTGGGGCTATGCCCTGCCCCCATAGCAACACGGCATTGGCACCACAACAGTGCTGAGAGGAACTCCCCACCACATCACCACCTGTAGCAGCCAGCTCTGGCACTTACCTGAGCTCTCATTGGGGCCCAAGGTTGCTGCTGATCTGAAAACCTCAAAACTGGTGTCAGTTTTCTGCATGCCGAGTTGTAAGCACCAGTGGTGAAAGGGAAAGAAACACTGTTTGGCCTCACATGCAAGGACAGCACTGCATGTGAAAATGGGAGAGGGAGTCCAGCCTCCATTAATATTTAACTGGCAGAAGCCTGGAACAGCTTTCAGCCTTACAGCTGTCTCTGTGCTGAACGTACCTGGAATGACCATGCAAACAACTCTATGGCCAAAGAACTGGAATTGCAATCTACCTAAATATAAACTCAACACAAAATAAATTATGTGATTCCTAAACTTTTTTTTTTTTTAATCTTTGTGACTTTAACCAAGACAGAGTCCAACACAGTCACTATGCAATTGAAGAAGAAAATGGAAATCTGCAGTCAAGTTCGAGACTAAAACAATGTCCTTCTCTAGTCACAGTAAACATAGGATGTAGGGAAGAAAATACTTGCTCAGGTGAGAATTCTCTAATCTTGCAGCACACACAAAAAGCCTCAGCAGTATTTTAAAAATATCACCAATTAACAGTTGCAATTCCTGCACCAGTAATTACTTGGTTTCCCTCAAAGGAAAAAAAAAAACAACTTTCCAGATTCATCCCTCACTGTGGATTACTTTCTTACCACTTCTACCAGTTTTTCTCATTTTTTTTCCCACTGTATCACTGGTAGGGCCATTGCCCACCTCATATATCATTAGTAGAGGAATTAGTTCTTCCTGCACAGGAGGAATTGCTTGTGAAAGGAGTTGGTGGGTGGAAGAACACCTGTTTTGTAAGGACACAGCTGACACTGTAGAAAGCTGGTAAACAGATCCAGACTCTCACTTGTAGCAGTTCTCTCTGCTCTACCATTGTGATCTCAATGTAAAGGAAAGCTGGACAATCCACTGGGATGCTCCTTAATAGAAGGAGAAGATATGGAAGCTATTTTAAAACTCAACTGGACTGTCACATGAAATACCCTATCAAGAAAGTGACCAGAGTACAGGTCTTTTGTCACGGTGCTGTAAGATGCTGTAGGGGACCTGCAGTTCGTTGGTACCTGCGATGGCTGGAATGGGGGCTGTGTAAAGTCAGGCTTTTCTTAGAAGAAATCAGGCTGCTACACAAAGACACCACAACAGCAAATGTCAATTCTGTTCCACTCCCCTACCTTGGTTAAGAGAGCTGGAAAGTGTTAAGTCCACGCAGCACCGAAACCATGCCTGAATCCAGAACCAAAGGGAAACCTACAAGGACACGTGGGATTTATGGGGTCTTTGGTCTTATTTAATCACTTTAAAATTGTTCCAGATTTTTGAACTGAAAACACTTTTGCTCTTTTGAGGGGCTCATTGTAATTAGAGCTGTGGGGAAATCCAACACAAAATTCTACCCTAGTGCAAAGCTTCTCCAGAAGTTGCTGCAGTGTTCTATTTCAGATATAAGAGCATATAACACACACAAAAATGCAAATTCGTTTGTATATGTGACACAGGTATGATAGAATACATTTGGAATTCAGTCAGGGTTGCAATTGCAGAAGTAAAAAGAAGGTTGTTCAGACACAGAGAGAAGATCCTTCAAACAAGCGTCTGCTTTTCTCTTCAGAGATTTTATGAGGATAATTTTAGGACAAAACTCATACCAGGAAATGAAAAAAAAAAGAAATCCCAGAGAAAATCCCAGAGCTGTGCATGTCACAAGGTAACTTACCCCAGCACCTCCTGCCCAACAACTCAGAGCAACTGGAATGAAAAATTTGCTTTTTTCTGTAACATCCAGTCATCTCTTCACTGTAAGAGGGATTCCAGTCCCAGTTTATGCCTTAATCCAAACACTGGTTAATGTAGAAAGGTATCCAGAATACAATGGAGTTTGAAGCTCTCAGCCCATGGAACAGCATTTCAGCTACCATCCTTGAAAGTCATCTCACTTCAGAAAGTGGACCTCACATTACGGCCCTCACATCATTATGCAGCATCCTGTCTGAAGTCATAACTGGCACAACGAACACCATATAAATAACTACGTACCATATCTCATACACAGTGTCCCATTCTGGCAGGCAATTTATAATACAGAAATATTTCAGAGATTCTTTCTCTAAGGTAATGACCTTCCAAATACTGAGAAATCCTTCAAGAAAGTCAGGTGCAGAAAGCAAAACCATCCTCTTACATATACAGCCAATTGATACAATTTCCAAGGCTCTGAGTGAGTGACACACACAAGGAGGACATTCCCCCTCCCCCAGCTGCATGCTGACATAACACAGATCCTGGTTTTGTAGCTTCAGGTAAGATGGCTTCACTATCAGCTTTGTGGGGCAAGACAGAGCACACCACTGGAATAATGAGATCTCAGCATCTGCCCAACTGGCAGGGACCAAACACTCAATACACTCCCAGGAACCTCGCTTATAACTTCTAAAAGTTGGTGGGGTTTTTGCATATGTTTGCCATGACCTGGTTGGATTTTTCATTCTTCACAGTGTTGTTTTCTTTTTTTTTTTTTAAACCACTCTTTCTCCTTTTAAGCCTTAAAATCAATTCATTACAGATCTAGACAGCCAGCAGCCTACCTTATTACCTTACATCCCAGGAAACGTTTACAAGCATGGGACCATCCACAAGAGAATCATCCACAAGAGAGACACTTGGTTCACACCAAATGCTTGAGATCTTCCTCCAGCTCCACAGACATTGAGAATTTTCATTTCTGTTCCAACCCAACACCCCACTTTAGTTCAGAGCAAACCACAACATGGCAGGAAACAAAATTAAATGGGATCAAAATCCAATACTTGAATGTAAAGGGGAAACAAAATAACATCTAAACAAAAATTCAGTTCTAACAGCAGATTGTAACCAGCAACATTTCAATAACATTTTCATAGGAAAAGAAAAACAATTTATGCTTTTATGCATTTTTATAGCATTTTCTTCAACCCGGTAGAGGGAGATGAAACCACCTACACAAAGATTTGCCTTCCTGCATAAAGCAAGGAAACTCATAGAATCACAGAATGGCCTGGGTTGAAAAGGACCACAATGATCATCTAGTTTCAACCCCCCTGCTATGTGCAGGGTCAACAACCAGCAGACCAGGCTGCCCAGAGCCACATCCAGCCTGGCCTTGAATGCCTCCAGGGATAAAATCACTGATGATCAAACCAAACTTCTTCCATAAAACTACACCTTCCCTGGCAGCGCTCCCACACTGAACAGTGGCAGATACTAAATTTGTCAGCATCGAGGGACTGAAACCGTTATTCACTATTCCAAAGTTTTAATGACTTTTGCATCTGTATCAGATGTGAGACACACACCATAATGAAAGCAGCAGCCACGTGATACCCAGTATGAATAAAGCTGCCTGCAAAAATCAGTTCCCACTGAGTCCACTTCAAAGACCACTCTAACTACAGCTATATTCATATTTTAAACTTTTGCACTTATTTCCAAATTTGACTTTTTATAAGGTATGTGTATGAGTGTGTGACTTAGCATTAAATAGTCCCAAGAATATTCTCTGCAGAAGTCGTGCCAACAGCCTTCCAGTAACTATTTCTCTATTAACCATCATTAATCTACGAAATGGGTTATGTGGACCTCAATGTCACTCAGTCACCAGTGCTGAAACATACCCCCACCACACACCACCACTGTGCTCACATCCACCGTGTAGTCTCTAGAAATGTTAAGCAAGCATCAATAAATGTCAATGGGTGCCATTTTTCCACACGGAGGAATTCAGTGACACAACTTTGCTTCATCCGCACCCCCATGTCAGACACCATTCTGTCAGACTGCCCCTCTGCTGCCATCTGCCACGCAGCAACAACGTGTAAAGGAATATTGGTGGGAAGGTTCTGCCTCTACAGCCATACAACCACCATCTGCCTCTGGCAGCGTAGGCCAACATAATGAAATTACTTTCAGAGCAGCCCTTGCAGATGGACACAGTCAGGGTGGCTGTTCAGCCACTAACTTTGCCCAGTGCTGCTCATGATTTGAGATTCCCTGACTTTTCCCAGCTCCTGTTCATATGCTAGGTCCAAAATAACGCTGTCACCTGACAGCAGTGAGAAACACAAAATGAAGAGAAGGGCTCAGCACTCTCCCCTGCTTTCTGAACACAGCAGTTGAGGTGCTGCTTTCACAACTCAGCACCCCAAACATCCTGCCTGCCCAGCCTTACCTGCATGCAGTCGCCTGCCCAGTGCTGCCAGCCATGCTCTCAGCCCCTACGCTGCCCTTCACAAAGAGCACCTCTCCCTCTCCCACACCCTCTCTCACCTCCAGTATGTGTTTTTTTCTCTCAAAAATGTAGGAGGTCAGCAATAATCCTGCTGCTGGGAGCACAGGTGGGGTGTCAGGGAAGCTGGATGCAGGTGGCTGCAATTTATCTCTGAGAGGCGGCACATGGCCCACTGCCCAGAGCTGCCTACTGACACATCCTGAGTTCCTCAGCTCTTTTATCTGGCCAAACCTACCATGGCTGGGGGACTGAAGGGGAACCCCATTTCTTCCCACTGCTGTGTATCAGTCCCAGTAAGAAAATACATAACCACAGCCTTATACAAAACCAGCATCAACCAAGTGCCTTCTCCCAGTATGTGAGCAAGCATTTGTGCACTTAGCAGATGAAGCCTGAAGAACATGCTCACCAGAATGAAATACAAAAGACTTGCCTTTCTCAGCAGTTCTCAAAGAAACGATGCTCAGTTTGCCCACAGAACAATACCTGAGTAAAGTCTGCCTGAGGAAGACTTGCCAAGATTTGGTGATGTTTACAGCTCTTATGT